ATCTTCTAAGTATTCGTTCATGACTCATATGGTATCTTTTTTCCACCTGCAGAGTTGGACGAATTAAAAATTCAGGGTGACACTTATTAATGCTTTTAAACAAAGTTTACAAACGGGATACAACCTAAGTCTTTCATATTAAAATTATGTAACTGGGATTAGATATATATTACCCGCTTTAAACATTTCCATCTTGTTACATAATACTCAAAAAATGGTAATATATTTGTAGTTTTAAAATTAGTTTAAACTTAACTAAGACCTAAAAGATTTAACTTTAGACAAAACTTTAGAAAAAAACTCGAAATTTATCGAGGGAACAGATTATACAGTCTAGATTGCTAGATAAAAGATATTAGACGATTAATAACTGAAAATTCGCACACCTTTTTTACTAGACAACGACACTTGTTAGGGGAATGCTGAGCCACACGACAATGTGGAAAACGAAGGCTGCTGCGATATCCTGTGACCCAGTTGGGAGTGACAACTTACTTAGGCGAATTTGTCCAAAAAGCCAAACCGGTCATCACCTCATTTTCCAAAGGAATAACTATTAATCAACTATTTTGGAGAACATGAAATAGTTACACCAATTCAACAACTGTTGGTGTAAGCTTTTATCTTGATATAGCACAGATTCAGTTGGATATCGTTTTGAAAATGGCCTAATTTCACAAAACTTCGCGTTATAAAGATGTATTAATTGTTTAGTGGGATCAAAAATTATTAAAAACATCATCACTTTGACAAAAACATACTTTTCAGAGTTGGTTTTATGCAGAAGAGGTAGCAATAAAGACAAAGAAGACATCAAAAAAGCTCTGGAATTACCAACAAACGTTCTATCTACCCCACGAGATGCCGTTCGAATTTGATATTGGCTTAACGGACGGTAATCGTTGCTTTGCTCGTTGCACATGTCAACAATATAGCCAGCAGAGACGATATTCATCAATTAGTGCCGTGCTTAAGTGAAATCGTAGTAAAGGATATAATCCTCGATTGTTAAGACCTTTTTGATTTTATAAATCTTCTTTATTATCTCATAAGCCTTGGTGGAAGTACCATGAAACAACTATATACCTATAATAGGGACTATTGGTTTGCTAAATTTTAATTTTACAGATTCTGTTAATGAAATTCCATATTGACACTATTGATCATGCAGAAACCATAAGAGAATCTACCCATATATTTATAAATTGCAGCATAAAAATTACTATTAAGTAGAATATTAATTTGTTTTATATCAGTGACAAGATCGTTAAATTAATAATATGATAGACAACTTGATATTTTGATTTATGTTTCTGACAAAAACAAACCGGGAGGTCGTGAGTAAGCAAAGTCCCCCAGAATACATTTCTGGTCCAAAAGGTTGCCTGGTCGAATACTGATAACACCATCAAGATCTTGAACTACTTCCCACTGCCTGAAATAATAATCTATTATATATTTGCCATAAATAAGCTGATCAGCGCTGAACAAAATCTCGATATTTTAGATTAACACATACATTCATTGATAAACTTTTCTCTGACTCACCATTTGGTACCTTATCATAAAATACTTGTTAACAGTATCTGATTAGTATTACGCACGCATGCAGGTAAGGGGCTAATGGATAACAGACGAAATTAACTTTGACTAGACTAAGAAAAATATAAAGCTTAATAATGTTCCAAAAATAGCTCGTCAAAATAAGTCTGTGTAAGTATACTAACTTCCACGGACCCGCCAGGTTAGCAAATCTCCACATATCACTTATTTAACGTAATTAAATCAATCCAAATAGTAATTACCCAAAGTCCCCAACCATTATGTTAAACGAAGAACCGAGTTAAACACAGATTTTAAAGTTTTCTCACGCTTCGAATCTATGTGATTTCGATTTAGAATGAAATCAAACTTGTTATGACAGCTTCATTAAAACATTAGGCCCCGCGGATCGATGCAAATGTATTACTTCAAAGCAAATGTTACCATCACACAAAGCACTTTTTTTCCACTGATTATACGAAAAATGTTCTAATTTCGAAGCGGTAAATATGAAACCACTGTTTTAGTTAAACCATATCTAAATTGGGTTGCCATTCATTCTGATGCAGCAAATAATTGGCAAGAATAAAGTTTGATGATTTTAAAACCCAAAAGACAACAGGCCTTGCAGTTTCTGCAAGCTGATACCAGCAAAACAAATTACCAATCATGGACCCTCAGATCTCACGCTTAAAGTTGAGAGCAATATCAAATTGTGTTATACAATTATCAAAACGTTATCAAGCCAGCTCGAACAACAAATATCAAAAGACCATGTAAATTATCTTCTTACAGCAAATTCAATAAAAAGAGAAGCTCATATGATAAACTACGGTATTTACTTATGTAAGTAAATACCACTAACAGACTCCCACAAATACTCCTGCAATATGAGAACACTGATCACATCGCATTAATGTCATGACACAGCAGGTAGGGGCAAAAGAAACACATGAACCACAGAGAAGCATAAAATAGTTATCCACAATGACAAGACGGTACAAAAACCTAACATCAACATAACATGCATTAGATTCAAGCATTGGATTTATTTGATTATTTAATTTATAATAATTGATTAGATAACACAAACTAAGATAAACTGCTGCTTGATAATACATAGCTCTCCAAGATCTGAGAGTGATACTGAATATAGATCATATTACATAGATAAAAAAGATAGGATAAGAGTGGAAAGATAAGAAGTAATAGATAAGAATGATAGATTAGAAGTGTATAGATAAGAAGTCATTCGAGGAATGCATCAACATGAGCATCAAGCGAATAACATGTAGCGTCGGAAAAATAACGAGGCAACAACACGTACCAAGTACAAGTACAAAGTTGAAATAGCTTCTAGAATAATCCACATTCTTCTAGAACGGATCCAACGCGTGCTAAGATATACCATGTGACAATGTCAGATGATTCAAATCTGACGTCGCAATTGATTGAAATATATCACGCGCTGCATCACGTGACACAGTTTTCGGCCAATCGTAACCGCGTGTCTTGGTCACGCTTGGAGTACAGCGCTCACTTAACTTTCAGCGTGATCAAATTCTGGCCTTGTAATTGGTTGCGCGCGCACGTCACGTGACGTATCTCGTAGCCAATGTCATTCTACGGCACAAATCTGCCGTAAAACTCCTCGTTTTTCTATGGTCTGGCCCGATGGCAAGAGCTACGAAGTAGCGCGCGCCGGGCCAGATCATTAACAATGGTCAACAACAATTCAAAAAAGTCATTTTTTAAAATATGAAAGATTAGTCCTTTCCCAGCACTTTAAAAACCTATTTGAGTCATTTCGCATCTGCAATTTATGATCCAAATTCCTACCTACTAAACGAGTACACACCTTCACACCATTCGCAAATCAGACACATGAGTGCTTGTCCTAAATGCGGCGACGAAGAGGAGATTGTCTCACACTTTCTCGGACAGTGCCAGGCTATTGCCCAAATAAGAGGTCAATATTTCCGTAACCTGGGGACTCAGGCTATCATGTTCATAAACGAATAGAGATTAGGCGGAATGACAGGCTGAGCGCGGCCCAGTAATATTTCCGGGACTACTACCTATCTGTCAATGACAACTAACACATCTCCACCATCGTCAACTTTGCAAACCACACTAAACTCATAATGGTGCCAGAGGAGTTGGACTAGACCGGTGTAACATAGCGACTACTCAAACGCCGTCTTAGTTCGCCTCTCTCTTCAACACTCAACCACCATTTAAGCGTTCATCTTAGACACACCCCACAACACTTACCATCATCCTTGATTACACATTTTGATTCCACCGGCATCCTCCCATAGGACTGCCATACCCCAGAAGTAGGCAAAGCATCCATATGCTTTGATTCACGAAGTCAATCCTTCGCAGCTCGGCGAGGCCCAGTGGTGCATCTCGCCGATCTGCGAGAAGAATTATTTGATGCGCGGCGCGGCCCAGTAGTGCATCGCGCTACTGGCTACAACCATATGCTATCCTGTCGTGGGCCAACCATGACCAGGCCCAGCCTCTCTTTTTTTTAAAAAGAAGTTTATAAATACTCATTGCCCAGTGCCAACCCGTAGAATTACCCTAATGCAGCGTAGTCTGATGGTTGCTCTAACCAGAGCCCTCTCGCTTGCAGTAGCGCGCGACCGCCGAAGGCGGCAAAGGAGGCCGCTTGCCTTGTGAAACAAGCGCGTCACGCAGTACGCGTAGACACATAGCTATGTGACGTCTGATGGTCGCTTCTCTAAACTCACGTATATATGAATACAAATTTGCTTTGACCACTGTTAATGATCTGGCCCGGCGCGCGCTACTTTGTAGCACTTGCCATAGAGCCACTTCGAAGAAATTTAGACGAGTAACATCCGTCAAAAATTTGCTCACCATACCAGGTTAATTTCGGAAATTATTATTCGTTTCCCTTTCAAGAGTGATACCCGTGAATATATCTGTCCAGTAGTAAGACCCGGTAACGACACGGTAGGTTATCGGTTAATTGACGATGTCAATTCATCTCAGCTCGGCGCGGCACAGTAACGCATCGCGCTACAAGTTATCGGTTATAAAGTATAAACCTATAAATTCACACGTTGAAAAAGTTAACGGGTGATACTCGTAAAATATCTGTTCCATATACTATTCCAGGACCGTCGACGAGTCCAACTCGGCGCGCGTCCTGGTAGGTTGTAAACCTACAATTAAATGAAAAAGCAGGAAGATCAAGAACGCGCAGATGAAGTTTTACTGAGCCGCGCTTTTATGTCAAGGTTGCTGGTCAAATTTTACTATTTGATCAGCGTAATCACATTGCGCGTCACGTAAACTAACAATAAATTCAGGACAGCCGACACGGACCGTTTATAGCGTACGGAGAATAGAGAAATGACTGAAGAATTCCAAGTGAAAACAACCTGACCTTAGCCAAAATCAATGAGGGAAGGGAAGTCAAGTTTGATGTCAAGAGACAATAAAACGATTATTCTACAGTTAAATGTTTGTTCAAAGTTTTCAGACAATTAGTTTCAAAATCACTCAATCAAAAAACGATCAAGAATTATATAATAACTAAGAAGAAATAGCTCAATAAGTATAAAGTAATCCGTCAAACTAAAACAAAACTGCCAATAACAATATCCTTAACAGGGTTTATTCTTGCAAGTAATTTCATGTTTGTTTTTGTTACAACTTTGATTGAACCTCTTATCACAGTAAGAACAGGAGTAGGGTTTCTCCCCTGTGTGTGTCCTCGTGTGTTTAGTTAAATGACAGTTCTGAGTAAACTCCTTACCACACACACTACACTTGTGTGGTTTCTCTCCAGTGTGTGTCAGAGCATGTCTCTTCAGACTACATGATTCTAAAAACAGTTTTCCACAGTAATTACACTCGTGTTGTGATTCTAGCTCACGATCACCATGTGTTCGCCTATGTGTCTCAAGTTTATCTGCTCTGTTAAAAGACATTGGACACACATCACATCGGTATTGTTGTAGTGGATGCTCTGTACTGATATGATCATATAGTTCTTGTTCAGAAGGTTTCTTAACACCACACTGCTTGTACCGACACCTGTATGTCTTGTTAGTGTGGTTATTGTAGATGTGAGCAGTGAGACTCTCCTTTCGAACAGTAGCATAGTCACAGTGTGTACACTTGTACTGTTTGTCCCCATTGTGAGTTAACATGTGACGTGTGAGAGCGTGTTGGTGATCAGTCCTATATTTACAGTAAGGACAGCTCAGTCTCGCTACCTTATCGTGTACTGTCCTGATGTGTGCAGTTAAATTGGCTCTTCGAGCAAACATCTTCCCACACACATCACACTTGTGTACTTTCTCTTTTCCTGATACTCCTCGAGTCTTCCCACATGTGTGTGTCTCCAGTTCTTGTTGTGTCTTAAACAGCTTAAGACAACCAGTTGCAGTGCAATGATATTGCTGACCTGTAATAATGAAATATTACTGAAATAAAGTGAGGAATTGTCCAGCAATATCTTGAAATAAAGATAATCTTCGATGTGACCATTTAATTTACGACTATTTGTTACTATAGAATTTTTCTTACCATTTTCAAGATCAGTCTGCAACGAATACCCCAACTCTTCGAAATAGTCCTCTCCGTAGAAAACTAGTAATTCTTCTCCCAGCCCAATAGGTTTATACGAATAATACTGTATTCCACCTAGAAGAATTATTCCATGATAAAAGGGTATTTTATCACCAGAATACATCGTAATACAATAGAGCTTAATAATCCGAGGATGGTAAGTTGCAGGTTAGCGAATCTAAGTAAGTAAGAGTAAGTAAGTAAGATAAGTAAGAACTAAGAATGACGCATAGCAGTAGAAAACTGGCGAATAAGAACACCCCATTTTACCTGGGATATTTCTTACAAGAACGTTCTCTTCACATTGACCCCGAGCACAGTTAAGAAACCGTAACCAGTTGCTAGCCCTGTGACTAGCCCCATCTAGATAGATAACATCTCCGTCCTGACTAACAGCTCTCCACGCATATCCACTCTCTTTATCTGAAGACTCTAACTTCTTGTACTCCTTTTCTGATATGACTTTTCCCTTGTAGTTACCTGATAAAATAGATAAATCAGAACAACCCACTTTAGGGTACAAAACATTTATAGACTTGCTGTCTGGAGAAAGGGACAGTGGACACCAAAAAAAGAAGTAAAAGCTGATCCCAGCAAATCACGTGACTTACCCAATATACTTCCTGGTTCAATAAACTGAGACGCAAAAGCTCCATCTCCAGCCCTGGGAATTGTGGATTCTTTGATTTCAATACAACTAGGTACTGGGAAGTTTGCAGTCTTCTTAGTTCCCGGTTGGGTGATGTCTTCTAAACAGGGGAGTAAAGGACCATGTAGTTCACATTCTCCCCTCACATAATCTTTACACTGCCAACAAACTGGAAACAGAAGCAATCCATTGAAAATGTCATTTATAAAAGTATCCACCAAATTATTACAGTAAAAGAAACAGTAACATTACTATTTAATTTAAGCAAAGATTCTTTTGAACATCTGATTCTAACGGATTATTATAATTCAGACTTGAATTTTAGTTGCTGATACATAACAAAAAATACCATATAGTATTGATAAACAAATTTAAGTAAACTCCCGTCTACATTGTAACTTACAATATTCAGACTGTAGCACCTCCTCCAGATTATCGTTATCATCACGGTATGTAACCCCCTCTTTAGCAACTCTAGGAGGGTTACTACGTCTATTTTTAGAAGCTTTTCCTGCAGCTGCTTCAAGTTCTGTCTTGGAGAAGTCTTCCTGAATGTTATCTCTCTCAGCAGTCATTTCTGTAGGAACACTAATGTGTGTCTGTGCAGTGTTTGGCATCTCTTCTGATTCTTTATCTTCGTCAAACAAGCTTAGTAGATAACCATCATCCAACATTCCTAGATACTCAAAATCATCTATCTCTTCTTCTTTCTTCTCAGGGTCAGGGTCAGGTTCTGACTCAGGTAACCAATAAGAAGGACGGGGAATATTGTCAATATTCTCGTACACTTCTCTGTTACTAAGTATGGTGGGGAGTTTCTTTGTTTGTGTTACAGAGCTGGAGCTGGTATCAGACTCTGTTGTTACACCAGATGTGTTATCAATTCTCACATTGTCTGTTATACTCTTATGATAACTACTGCTACTTTTATCTGGAGTTACCATGTCACTACGATCAGTATCGTTGTGTGTACCGCTACAAGAGGGTAAGTTGTCATTCGGTTCAGGTGTTGTTCTGGCATATTCTTTGCTTTGTTGTATGTTACTTTTGTTAGTACTCGCTTTGGTATGGTCGCCATCATTATCTAGAACAGTAATTCTATCCATATCTTTGAGCACCTCCTTCACTTTTTTGTTATACCTGCGAAATAAACAATTAACATGTTAGTCGTATTTAAAATGCACTAGCACTATGCAATCAACTACAATTAAAAAATATATATTATGTTATATGTAGTTGTTAAGAGAAGCCATTAAATGTATATTTATGTGCAAGACAACAAAGTATCAAAAGTAAAAACTAACTCGTCCTGAGTCATGTTGTGATAGTTATCATACAACTCAAGTGCTCGATCAAGACAAGTATCTGCCTGGTCCTTGTTTATTCTACCAAACTTATACTGTTCCTCATCATCGTCAGGTACATCATTACTCTTGTCTGACATAAGTTCATTATAGAGGTCAGGAGGCAGCTCAATTCTATCTATCTCCTCATCTGAGGACTCTTCATTCTCCCTGTAAAGTAGTACCCTTCAAATATATAATATCATAACATTGTTTAGTTCAAAAACAAAACATCATTGAGAATCTGACAAATATTTATGCAAAAAGAAACTCGAGCAAAAGTTCTAAAACACGATTATGATCAAGATTCAAGCTATTAAATCAAATTAAATAAGAAGATATAATGTAACTAACATGTCCTCCAGGAATTTCTCCCAGCCACCAGGATAAGTCTCACAAGTAATTTTATAGAACTCCTCATCAGACATAAGAGAGTCTATGTTAGCCTCACATATTTCATGTGTAAAATCAGGGTTTTCTGCAATCAGTTTACACACATCTACAGGACCTTCTCCGAGGTGAGAAGCTAGATTCTTGTTGACAAGTAGATCTTGTAATGCTAGTACAGACTCAGGTTCTGAGTGTAGGAACATCTCTAGTTCCTCTACTTCAGGAGCTTCAGCTTCTTCAGGCTGATTAACTTGTCTTACACATTCCACACAATCCAGCTGTTCTTCTTTTATCTTTTTAGTCTCAACTCTTCCATTCTTATGTTTCCCTTTGTGGGACTTCTTCTTTTTGTTGGGAGATTTCTTCTTCTTGTTGACTACAGGACTGTCTTTGTCACTGTCTGAGCTGTACCTCTCAGCGGGGTTTCTGGGATCAATATTAACAACCTCCTCAAGTTTTATCAACCCATCTTCATACTGATTCAGCAATGTTTCATCTGCGATATGAGATAATGGTTAATATATACGAAAAATGAGTTTTGAGACTACTGTGTCATCAGAAACAAATTTCACAAAATTTGGCAATAATTTGATCTATCACAGTAGCCTACTTAAAGTTGGAGCAGAAGTTCAGAGGTTGAGAGGTTCATTAATTGTTAGTTCATTATTTGTTTAACGGGTGAAGATTAAACTTACACTGTGAGTAGGCTGAGGTATGTTCCTCCCATTCTTTAGTCCGGTAACATTCCAGTGGTTCATCTAGTGTCATAAAACCCAGTTCCACCAACTTATCTCTGTTATCTCTTATTCTCTTGTATCTTTTGAGACTGTGTTCACACACACCTCCACAGTACCTGGCCCCTTCAAACAACTTCCACAGTGACATTATGTTCTAAATGTAACAAATTAGATTTAGTTGGAAGCAACAGTTAGTTTACAACAGAGATATAATAAATATAACTTCAATTTAAATATTAATCAAATGTTGGTCTAAAGTTATTCTGACAATATTAGTTTGAACATCAGTTGGAAAATAACACAATCAAATACGATCAAGAATTATAAAATAACTTTTAATAGAAGAAAAATATATAGTCCAATAAACAATAGGGATAAAGTAATTCGTCAAACTATAAGAAAACTACCAATAGCAATTTCTTCAACAAGGTCTATTCTTGCAAGTAATTTCATGTTTGTTTTTGTTAGAAGCTACACTAAACCTCCTATCACAGTATGAACAGGAGAACGGTTTCTCGCCTGTGTGTGTCCTCTTGTGTCTAGTTAAATGACTGTTCTGAGTAAACTCCTTACCACACACACTACACTTGTGTGGTTTCTCTCCAGTGTGTGTCAGAGCATGTTTCTTCAGAGTACTTGATTGTAAAAACAGTTTTCCACAGTACTTACACTCGTGTTGTGATTTTAGCTCACAATCACCATGTGTTCGCCTGTGTGATTTAAGATGTTGTGCTATGTTAAAAGACATTGGACACACATCACATCTGTATTGTTGTAGTGGATGCTCTGTGCTGATATGATCATATAGTTCCTGTTCAGAAGGTTTCTTAACACCACACTGCTTGTATTGACACTTGTATGTCTTGTTAGTGTGGTTATTGTAGATGTGAGCAATAAGACTCTGCTTCTGAACAGCAGTATAGTCACATTGTGTACACTTGTACTGTTTGTCCCCCGTGTGTGTTAACATGTGATATGTAAGAGCGTGTTGGTGATCAGTTTTATATTTACAGTAAGGACAGCTCAGTCTCGCTACCTTATCGTGTACTGTTCTGATGTGTGCAGTTAAATGGGCTCTTCGAGCAAACATCTTCCCACACACATCACACTTGTGTACTTTCTCTTTTCCTGATACTCCTCGAGTCTTCCCACATGTGTGTGTCTCCAGTTCTTGTTGTGTCTTAAACAGCTTAAGACAACCAGTTGCAGTGCAATGATATTGTTGACCTGTAATAATGGAAGATTACTGAAATAAAGTGATGACCTGTCCAGCTAAGCAATATTTTATAAGTTTATAGTCTCGTGTACACAAAATTTTGCATTTCAAGGGATAAAATCGTGATAATGATTGCTGTGACCATTTCCGACTCCTTCAAAAACGACAGGTTATTCTTACCATTTTCAAGATCAGTCTGCAACGAATACCCCAACTCTTCGAAATAGTCCTCTCCGTAGAAAACTAGTAATTCCTCTCCCAACCCAATCGGTTTATACGAATAATACTGTATTCCACCTAGAAAAATTATTTCATGATAGAAGGCATTACACAACGGTACAATTAATTATTTTTACTATTAGTCAATTTGTTATTTGTTATTTGCTATAAATTCTGATATTTTTATGGAAGGGAGACGGGGTAGACCATGTTTAAACTTATTAGATGTTATTAGAAAAGACTTGACTAGTAGAAATCTTGATATTAGACTTAAGAATTTGACTGATTTCGAAGACCTTAGATTTTTAGCTTTAGATAGGGAAGAGTGGAAGAAGTTAGAAGATGGTTGATGTTTTTGTTTTCTTTTTTATGCGTTTTGATATCTATAAGGTGCCTAGGATGCTCTTTTAAAGAGATATTTCGTACTTTGAAAGATTTACTTCTACTACTACTATTAGTCAATAACTAAACCGTGGTTATTTTATTATGAGGATACACCTTAATAGAAAACAGCTTAATAATCTGAGGATGGTATGTAACAAACAGGTTCATATAAAGATTCTACCCAACGGATTTGGGTATGAGATATTCACAATATAATGTAAATAGATAAGTAAGAATGACGTAGTAGAAAACTGGCGAAAAAGTACCCCAATTTTTAGTTATTGACATTGATGATCTCCTTTAGGTTGATGCATTTTAACCATATAATCATTCTGGAGACGGAACGGCATTTACTGTTACAAAAGTCAAAAATACCCGAGGCACCATTGGAATTCCGTAAGTGTTCTAGGCCGTGAACATTGTCTGTCAGAATAAGGAATCTGTTGCTCGCGGAGTTATCAACAGGAACGAAAACGGTTCACTGAATTACTTTTAAAATGCTTTAACTGTTGTCTAGGAGAATTGGTATTTTGGTGCACTACTGTTCTCAGTAGAAGGAAACCACCTTTCTTACTACTGACTTATAAAATATAAAAAAAGATGAAAAAATATTATAACAACAGAACCTTCTAGAAATATAATTTACATACATTGCAGATACGTGGCCCACAAGAAACCTAGTAATATAGTTGGTGTTTATGAAACAATTCAAAGATATTACATTTGTCCACACTCAGTTTTTAAACATTTTAAAACGAAGATATATTATTTACATAAAATGCAAGGCCATGGCTCATGTCCGCCATCGTTTTTTTTTTGCAATTCAATATTTACCTGGGGACCTCAGGCTATTATGTTCATAAACATAAATAGAGATTAGGCGGAATGACAGGCTGAGCGCGGCCCAGTAATTCAATATTAAAATGGAAAATTTAATTTGACGTCGGTTTTTTCCGAGTCAATTAAAAAACGATGGCGGACATGAGCCATGACATTCCGATTCAATATTAAAATGGAAAATGATTTGACGTCGGTTTTTTTTAAATCGAAAAAAAAACGATGGCGGATATGAGCCATGACATTCCGATTCAATATTAAAATGGAAAATGATTTGACGTCGGTTTTTTTTAAATCGAAAAAACGATGGCGGATATGAGCCATGACATTCCGATTCAATATTAAAATGGAAAATGATTTGACGTCGGTTTTTTTTAATCAAAAAAAAAACGATGGCGGATATGAGCCATGGCTCATGTCCGCCATCGTTTTTTTTTCGATTCAATGTTTTTCGAATCGAAAAAAAAACGATGGCGGGCATGAGCCACCATACACTCCATCAGTCGAAGATGAAGAGAATCAACAGAATTTGACTAATTTTGAACAACTTAAAAGAAAGAAAAATGTAGTAATACTAAAAAAGAGCGACGTAATAAGATACAAAGACGGTGACAATGCAGAATGGACAAATGGACTAATAGATAGTCGAGCAGGAAAGGCTACAGGCACACTAAAAAACAGCTATAATGTGCAAATTGATGGAGAAGATGAAGCCCAAGTTATCGATTTTACTGATAAAGAGGTAGAAAGGTTACTTTGTATAGAAGAAGACAACCTAACATTTAATGTAGAAATGTCAAAGGAAAGTAACACAAAGATCCGAGAGGCAAAAGAACTAGAGATAAAGAAATTTGGAGAGTTTGAAGTCTACAAAGAAGTCAAGGACACTGGTCAAAGTGTGGTGTCGTCCAGGTGGATAATAACAGAAAAGGATAGCAAAGTTAAAGCACGTTTGGTAGCACGTGGATTTGAAGAGAATTACCCAAGATCTGATGCCCCTACCATTAACAAGACCAGTTTGCGTTTGCTATTTACTATCGCAACTAGCAAGAGATGGCAGTTAGAATCGCTGGACATTACAGCCGCATTCCTGCAATCGGAAGAGATATCCAGAGATGTCTATCTCAAACCACCTGCAGACATCAGAAAAAATGGTATCATTTGGAAACTGAGGAAACCGGTATATGGACTCGGGGATTCAGCAAGAAAATGGTATCTTACTCTCAGTGAATACCTGAAAGAACGTTGCATTATGTCAAAATTAGACAAATGTGTCTTCAAGCAGATGGAGAACGGTAAACTACAAGGAGTAGTGGTGACCCATGTGGATGATCTTTTGTATGCCGGAACAGCAAAATTCCAAAAAGAGATAATAGCAGGTATTCGGAAAAAGTTCAAGATATCCAGAATGAACGCTGGTATTTTCACCTATCTGGGATGGAATGTGCACCAAGAACTGGAAACTATAAAGATAGACCAGAGAAACTACGGCGACACGATTCAACCTATAGAAATCTCGCCTACGAGGATCAAAGAAGTGGATAGTATTCTTAATGAAGAAGAAAAAAAGAATTACCAAGGACAGCTAGGGAAACTCTTATGGCTCAGCGGTCAATCAAGACCAGATCTGAGCTTCGACACTTTAGAGCTATCCACATATGCCAACAAGCCGTGTATAAAACACGTTAAAGTCCTTAACAAAGTTGTAAAGAAGATACCTGGAGGACCGCAGTGCTTATCGTACAGAGCTATGGATCTAGACAAAGAAAAAATACATATAATTTTCTACTCAGATGCAAGTGTTGGTAACCTGTTTACAGAGTCAGGTAATCAGGCAGATAGTGGACGTGGATACTTGGTGTTTGTCTCTAATGGCAAGACAGCAAATCTTGTGGACTGGTCAAGCAGGAAGATTAAAAGAGTGGTACATTCAGCTTTTGCTGCAGAGACACTAGCCTGTAACGACGGTATGGGAGCAGCCATCTATGTGAGACAAATTCTCTCTGAGATTTTGTATGGAGACCCCAAGCTAAGGGTCATTCCTATCCATGGTTTTATAGACTCAAACCAACTATTACAAAGCATACAGTCTACCAAGCAGTGTGAAGAGAAAAGGCTCCGATTGGATGTGTCGGAAATTCAGGAATGTGTCGAGCGTGGGGATATTGAATCTATTACCTGGGTACCCACACAGAAAATGCTAGCAGATTGCCTTACTAAAAAAGGTGCCAACTCTGAGGATCTTTGTAGAGTTATAGAGACCGGACTGTTCCAGAACTCTCAGTTTTAACCAAAGACCTGAGCTTATACTCAGGAGTGTCAAAGAACCAAAGACCTGAGCTTATACTCAGGAGTGTCAAAGCACCATTCATGTCATTTTAATTACCAACACGTGTAATGTAATTTACCAATTTGTGTCATTTTATTAATAATTACTTTAACAGATTTGTTTTACAAGAATTTATTTATAGTTTTGTATTGTAGTTCAAAACTACAACTTTTAACGGG